ACACACACACACACACACACACACACACACACACACACACACACACACCACGAACGCGCGCGCACCACACACACGCACGCACGCACACACGCACACACGCACACACACACACAGTGGAGTAGCCAGGATTTTTTAACAGGGGGCCAAAAACAGCGAACTGCGCAAAATAGTGGATGACTTAATATTTTAATGGTTCCTCGATCCGCCTCCCTCTCCACGCCCTACGTTCCCCCACCTTTCAACTCTGCAATCTTTGTTTCAGGCGCCATGCGCAAAGGCGACATTTTTGTTCGTTGTTCTCTGCTACCAAGGTATATAAAAGGAGGGGAGTGAAGTTCCTCCCGTAGACATTTTTTTAAATGTAGATCGCATGAGATGGTATTTGAGGCACTTTTGAGTACATGTACAGCCTTCATTCTGATTACGACAATTCTCTTTTCAATGAAACTTTTTTTTTAACTTTTGGATCAACAGGGGGGGGCACTGCTTCCTTTGCCTCCCGGGCCCCTCCACCCCCTAACTACGCCACTGCACACACACACACGCGCGCGCGCGTCCTTCTCTCCCCTCTCTCTCTCCCACACACGCGCGCGCGCACGCACGCACACCTACATACACACATCTATATACTATGTATAAATATGTATACATAGTAAATACATCCAAATGACAGGCTAACGACCGCTCCACATACTGCATGGTCGTTGTTGAAGGTTCCCGCGTCCACTCGTATAGGCATGCCACGTACGGACACAGGCACTTCGAGCGTCTCAATAAAATAAACGCTAAATAAACACGAAATGTATTTACTACCAAAGTCTTGATGTTTCTCTACTCTCTTTCGCCTATTACTGCCGATAGTTTCCTGTAAATGCCGTTCAAATGCTTCTCTTCAAAACACAGGTACACCGCACGCACGCCCCTGTACATTTAGGCCTACACTCATATATAACTGCATACCTGTATGTACCTATGTGTTTCTACGCTATTGGTTCTATTGGTGTAGCGCCTGTCGCTCCCGCTACAGAGTTACAACGCAGGAGCGAAGGGGTTACACCGATAGAGCTACATAGCTGTGTCTACATTAGCCCGACCATGCTCTATACGACTCTTTCACGTCACACGTCGCCCCGTAGTGAGAAGCTAGAGTATAACTTGTGGCCAGGTTTACATCTGCCGTTGTAGACGGGAACGGGTTCTCTTCACATTTATAAGATAACAAAGGTATATTCCGAACAGCAAGACAGCGAACCCATCTAATATTGTTGCTACTTTACAACAGGTGCAAACAAACAAGATGGTAGATACTCATTTGGTTGTGACGGGGGCTCTCTACTTTTTCGGCTCTGTATCCGGGCTTGCGGTTGCCATTCCAATTGGGCTGACGCTTGTATGTATTTTGTTTTTCATTAGTTTTCATGCTCTAAAAAAGTTATTTATTATACGCATTGTTATTCTCGATCCATGTCATGATCTAGACAACATCATTGTTGAACATGGCGTGATACACGGCCAGAGGTTGGTCGGCGGTCACGCCCCCAACGTAGCCATAGCCCGTCGAGTCCCATATGCGAGTCTAATGTCAAGTACGTCTTTCGATGTAGGAATGACTGTTTATTGGTGATACCGCCACCATAGATATAATAATGTAACCCAACACACCCTAATTTGTACATTTGGAGTAGCAATTGTGCAGCTGTCGCAGTTGTGTTTAAATTAGCACCTCTTCATGACATTGCTCCAATTGTGCCTATAATTAAATTTCGGTTACCGCGTGCGTTTTCATCGACTGAATTACAACAGCATAACTGTACGTGAGTATGGCAACGGTAAGTTAATTACCGATTACGGTATAGTGTTGCCACCATATTGCATGCAAGCATTGATTATGGCTCCGCTATGTAATGATGTAGTCCAAGGCGTACGTACGTAACTAACCCATTTTGCCTGGGGGCTCTGCGGCAAATTCAGCCACGTGCATGCCGTGTTCGGGGCAGGTGATATATTGTATCTATAGTATCTACATTTGTCTGGAGGACAGTTGCCCCTCTTGCCTCTCACCCCGAACGTGTCTTATTGCCTCTGTCCATAAGGTAGCTCTAGCTAGACTATAACCCGCGTACAGTTGCCGCAGGCCTGCGGCAACTGTACGCGGGCTATAGTCCTAGAGCTATCCATAAGGAAGCTGGTTTGCGCTTTTTATGAATTTCTTGGTAGGAACAATTTGCTGCCAACATTGAGGCAGGTAGTAAACGGACTCTTTCGGGCAGAAAAACTACTGCCTGTCGACCTTAATTATTTTCGAACCTTGTTATATCTAATATGAGTATATCTGTATAATCAGCAATTACTCACCTAGGAGATTTTAGTGATCTTCATGGGATTTTTTTGGCATTTCAGATTGGTTTTGATGGTAACTGCTTACTATATAACGATGTTGTGTGGGAGACCAACACGACATTTACCATGACGTTTGGAGCAAATGGCATCTGTCACTTCGCATGCTACATGCCTTTGGCGGGCTGTGCATTGTATGGCTGTGGAATGACAGTGTACTACATGTATGCTATATGGGTGGAATATAGAAGGGGATCAAGCATTGGGTACGTTTGCTTGTGTACAACCTTAAAAATGTTGTATCATCAGCGAGTCATCATGCAGGTTGACATAACCGCGTGCCAGTTTATAGTAGAGTGTATTCCTACATTAATACTCTAGCATTGCCTAGTATTGTCAAATTAAATTGTCAGTTTCACTTATGTATGACTAATATAATTTGATGTTGATATATCAGGAATGGGCATTGATGTGTTCTGTAAATATGATGTGCCTGAAATTTAAAGGGCAATATGATTGTAAGATATCATGTTTGATACTTCTAAGTTCTACATTGCAGTTCACAGATGTGGGTGATGCCATGGATACTTCTGAACTCGTTGGTAGCTGTACTTATATTTGCGTGTGGGATCCTTATTGCAATTGGACTGGCCAACTTGTGCAGTAGCCTCCTGGCAGGAGAACACAAAGGGAGTCATATAGATACATGCATGGGCTTTGAAGGGAACATCAACTTCGGTAGCACGTATAATTCGGCAAGATTCTATACTCACTACATGGTGGCAATGGTAAATAGACCTATACAGCTGAACCTGTAATTGAATGTGAAAGACTATAGACACTTAAGGGCCCGACTAAAATATTCTTAACTAGTTAGAATAATAGATATCAAATTGCCATGTTTTCCAACGAGCTGAGATAAGTACCGGACATGTAATTAATTAAACACAAATTTATAAATTTACCTGTATTTCTGCATGTGTACTTGCAGGTGTGTTGTTTTGTCAGTTGCCTGACATGGGCAACACTAGCAGGTCTGGCTTTCCTGCGGCTGCGGCGAAATCAAATAGAAAGGGCTGGTACTGGAGTTCCAACCGAGTGTGCAACTTCTATCAATGATTATATGCGATTCGCAAATGAACCTGCTTTTTAGCCTTCATACGGCCAGCATATGTGTTTTCCCTGTCGTTACGTCTTAATTGTGCCTTAAATCTGACATGGTACTTATTGACTGACTAGTAGTTTCTCTAATGTAGTAAGATTTATCAAACCTAGTGAAACTGGTGAATTTATGTGCTTGCTTGACTGTCTCTCAACAATCAAGAGACATTTCTTGACTTTATATCGCACACCTTGACAAGGACTAATGCTATTAGCCAATCAAATAGGATGGGATGAAAAAGTGTTACTAAATTGTTACATGTCAGTGTAATATTTTATCGCTATTAGGTGCAAATATAGCATGCATGATTATTGTTTCCAAAGCCACTTGAATGTTGCTGTGCTTATTGTATTTTTCTTGAGGTAAAATCTTCGCATATTCTGAGACCAGAGTTTATTGAGTAATCTTGCTCGGTGTCAGACGATACTATCAAGAGCTAATAATTATTGTTATATATATATATATATATATATATATATATATATATATATATATGACCCAAATGGTTGATAACATACCTGTTTTATTAAAGGAACATAAACTAAAAAGATATCTCAATATTATTGCGTAACCGCAAAAATACACAGCAGCCTACCGATCCTCCGCATCTCGAATCGACCTGAATCCCGCGTACGATTAAGGGGTGCCTTTTATAAAAATTTGGTCAGTTGCAAGCCCCTTATAACTACTAACTAGCATAGATAATTATATACGTAGTTCATTTCCAATTGAAAAGACGTAGAGCCACGTAAAGACAGTGTGGTGGAGTATCTTAATCGATATAAGGAATTAAGGATATAAGATTAAGACACGTACAAACGTTTACATATAGATATCAACGTATTAAACAGTAGGTCCAGTAGTGTAGTTGAAACGTAAAATTGCATCGTGCTGTCATCTAGTGTGCATTATAATCAGTAATGATTAGTAACGAAGGCATTTTGAAATACAATAGCGACCGCTAAAACTACCAACAACAACCTATTTCAAAAGAATAAATTACATGCTTAATTGCTAATAGATTCTGCCCTTTTAGCTCATTTGACACATAGACTATAGTGGGATTTCTGAAAAATGTGAATGTTAGGGGCATTTGGGGGTAAAAGTTGGGAACCAGACTCTTCGACATAATTCGAGGATGCTTGATCCGATAAGCTCGGTTCCCAAGCGAAATTTTGAGTTTTTGGCCATCTAATTTGCATAAACAAAATGGCCGCCATACCAAATAACGCCATCGGCCTTCGAGTAAGTGTGTAGGATGTAGTCAACGAAACGAAGATGTATGAAGTTTTATTATTTCACCACGAACGTGTACGAAACACCGACGACGACGATGACGATAACGATTACGATTACGATCGATAACTTGACAGCGATAGCGCGTGCGTGTGCGTGCGTTCGACTACGACAACGCCAACGGCGACCGTAACGACAGTGTGCCGACGATAACGATAGTGGCGATGATAACGACAGTGCGTCGACGATAACGACATTGTGCCGACGATAACGATAGTGTCGACGATAACGACAGTGTGTCGACGATAACGACAGTGTGTCGACGATAACGACAGTGTGCCGACGATAACGACAGTGTGCCGACGATAACGACAGTAGGCCTATGTCGACGATACCGATAGTGTGATTCACGAAGATTTGTGACACCCCTACATCCCTTTACATCACTACATAATCCACATATATATATAGAAAAGGCTCGCTACACGAGCGACTAACAAAAACTAACTTGCGTTTGCCGCCGTCTTTCACACTCACGTGTGATTGCCGCAGAGTTTGCCGCCGAAATCCGGAGGTCAGCTGACACGTAAACTACGAATTAACATAAACAGAAAGTGGAACAAAAACGTATTGCGTATACACTGTGTGCAAATTAGCAGGGTCTGGTGAATAAAGCAGCATGGTGGTTGGAACCGATTTTATTGTCTAAGTGTCAATGTGGTTTAATCCGGTAGCAAAGTCTAAAGACGCGTATGCCCGCCAGCGAATTTTTTTTCCTACACGTTATATCAAGAGCATATAAAGAAGGCATATATAACCTTCTTTATATGCTCTTGATACTATCTGTGGTATCCCAACACTATCTATTTGTGTGGTCAAATCAAAGCAGCCAATCAGAGGAGCCCAATGGATATAACGTGTAGGGAAAAAAAATTCGCCGCCCGCCATCATTTCTCAACTAAACCAAACTCGGGCAGCTATAAAGAGCAAAAAGCAATTTCATAAAATTCGTATTTTGCACTAATTGACCCTTGACCTTAATTATCGGCTAATTACCAGAAATCTCTAAAACAAATATAATATCCCTGTACCCTGAACGGTGAACCATTGCAATGAAGACAAAGATGTCAAAAATCTGACAGAAAACAACCCACATAGAAAGTTCAACCGTTACGGAGATATCCACCATAGAAGTGAATGTTTCTTTCATGTTTTCCATTTATTTTGAATATTTGGTATATTGTCTAGAGCCTAATATGAAAGATATTGAAAAATGACTTTGATATTTATGATAAGGTGGTTGAATAAAACATGTTATGCATTTTTGTACTAATTGATCTTTGACCTTAATTAGTGAGTTAATTAAGCACATTTGGGAAACACAAACAATTTTTAAAAAGAATGCGTTTCACATTTTTCATTTCATTCAAATATTTTTTGCATACTGTATTATATAAGGAAAAGTACAAAAAAACCTTGGATAATTGTATAAGGAAGAACAAAACGCGCGCGCGCGCACGCACGCACGCACACACACACACACACACACACACACACACACACACACACACACACACACACACACACTGCACACACACACACGCGCGCGCGCGTCCTTCTCTCCCCTCTCTCTCTCCCACACACGCGCGCGCGCACGCACGCACACCTACATACACACATCTATATACTATGTATAAATATGTATACATAGTAAATACATCCAAATGACAGGCTAACGACCGCTCCACATACTGCATGGTCGTTG